GGAGATCATCAAAGTCATCAACAGTTCGCAATGATGGTTGAAAAGAGTAGATACTGAGGGTGAGATATAGCAGCTTTGTAAAAATTTGAAGATTGGTGTCCCACTTTATATTCTCCTGATACAGTGAGCGCCAGCTGACAAATGCTAAATCTTCCGCGGAATTTTTCTTTGAAATTACACAAATTGCGCGCGCAAATTCCAATTTTTTTGGAGTTCGCCGGTATAATTTCTCTTTAAATCTCCACCTAACCCACCTGTACGTCAGCTTAGCAATAAATGACTTCCATTATCCGAGAACGAATTGGGCGTTTGCTGTTGATCGGAATAAACCGGCCGGCCAGGGCCAATATGCTTGATTTCAACACTGCCGAGCTCCTCAAGACGACAGTTAAAACCGAGTTTGAGGAAGATGACAATGTAGCTGCTGCTGTTATTTATGGTGAAGGCGGAGTTTTTTGCAAAGGCTGGGATGAGCTGAACATTTCTGATAGTCATTCTGCAGTTTCTCCAAGTTTTATACCTTCTGTGCCCAATACACGACAAATGCTCATCTTCAGGAAACCCACTTTTGCCGCAATTACCGGTCATGCATTTGGATGTGGTTTTGAGCTCGCGTTAGCATGTGATGGCAGAATATGTGAACCAGACTCCACTTTCTGCCTAACTTCAAAGGCATCCCTCCCTGTAGTTGAGGGTTCGGTCGAACGCCTTAATTTTCTTGTTGGCGGTTCACGGACCCTCGAGCTGCTTATCAATAATCCTCTTATAACAGCCGAGCAAGCCGATGCTTATGGTTTAGTTCGACGGGTCGCCAAGCGAGGTACCGCCCTTGGTACGGCCGTTCATATGGCTGAAAACCTGGTTCGCAGTCGCAATTATGATTTCTTTCTCCAAAGTCGACGTTCACTTCTTGGCATTCGCAGTCATAAGCAACACGACAGCCGTTCCCCCACAGAAGTCGCATGATTGAACTTTCCACCCTTATTTTTTTTTCAAAGTCATTCAAATTGCCATGCGCAATTGTAAAAATTTGACAGGCTACCATTTTGAATGATCCCGTTTGTAGAGTAGGCTGTTTCACACACCTTTCGTATTGTACTCTTTACTTTGTTTGTGCCTTGTCTTTGAGCTGAAATGAAGTCATTTACTACGCACCTCTATCCCACTTTTCCTTTTTTTTAGAAAGTGTGCGTCCTATTGCTGGTGCTCCTAGGCGATCTTCCTCATGGCGAAAGAAAAACGAGTTGTTTATTTTTATGACCCCAACTGTGGGAATTTTCATTATGGACCCAATCATCCAATGAAGCCGCACAGGCTCACTCTTGCGCACACATTAGTGTTGAGTTATGATTTGACGTCGAAGATGCAGGTATTACTTCGTTATACCTATCTACTTCTGAAGATTTATAAAGCACCAAAGGCTACGATGAAAGATATGATAACATTCCACACACAGGAATATATAGAATTTCTTCGGGATGTTACGCCAACTAATCTGAATATGTATTCTAAGGAAAAACTATTGTCTTACAACGTTGGAGAAGACTGGTACTTGCTTTCCTCTTGCTAGTAACCTCTTTAGCCCCATCTTTGATGGGATTTACCAGTTTTGTTCCATGTATACCGGGGCATCATTACAAGGCGCTAAGTATCTAAATGCAGGGGTACTTCTGCTTGCTTTGGTGATTTTTTTTAGTTCACAGACATTGCCATTAACTGGGCTGGAGGCCTTCATCACGCCAAAAAATTCGAGGTGAGTGGCCGTTATTTGTTATATTTCTAGGCCTCTGGATTTTGTTATGTCAACGACATTGTTATTGCGATTCTGGAGCTCCTAAAGTAAGATAACGCGTCTCTTAATCTTATGTATAGGCACCATGCTCGTGTACTTTACATCGACATTGATGTACATCACGGGGA